ATTTTTCCCCCATTCCTCAGTGATACTGTTTTGTTTCTTAAATTCCACATATGAGGGGCGCCTGGGTGGCTCAGTTGGTTAAGCGACTGCCTTTGGCTCAGGTCATGACCCTGGAGTCCCAGGATCGAGTCCCGCATTGGACTCCCTGCTCGGCAGGGAGTCTGCTTCTCCCTCTGACCTTCCCCCCTCTCATGTGCTCTCTCTCTCTCTCATTCTTTCTCTTAAATAAATAAATAAAAATCTTTAATAAAAAAAATTCCACATATGAGTGAGGTCATATGATAATTGTCTTTCTTTGATTAACTTATTTCTCTTAGCACAATACCCTCTAGTTCCATCCATGTCATTCCAAATGGCAAGATTTCATTTTTTTGATGGCTGAGTAGTATTCCATTGTGTGTTTATACACACAATGGAATGTATACACACACAATGGAATGTATACACACACTATATATATATATATACACACACACACACACACACACCACACTTTTTTATCCATTCATCTGTCGATAACCTATCCTCATTTTTTAAAATTCTTTTTTCTTTTTGCTGTTCAGTGGGTACTTTCTATTATCCTTTCTTCCAGATTGCTGATCCATTCTGCATCTGGTAATCTGCTTTTGATGTCCTCTTCTATATTTTTCATTTCAGTTACTGTATTCTTCAACTCTGGTTGGTTCTTTTTTATGTTTTCTTTCTCTTTGTTGAATTTCTCACTGAGCTCATCCACTCCTCTCTTAGTCTCGTGAGCATGTTTATGACTATTAATCAGGTAGCTTGCTCATCTCTGTTTTGTTTAGTTTTTTTTTCTGAAGATTTGTCTTGTTCTTTTGTTTGGAGCATGTTTATATGTCTCCTCATTTTGTGTGATCTTCTGTGTTTTTTCCATGAATTAGGTGAAACAGCTGCCTCTCCCTGTTTGGAAAGAGTAACCTTCATGTAGTAACTTGCCTGCATAGACTGTGTGTGCCTGGCTGGGTGTAGCTTTGGCTGGCTGACTGGAGCTGTAGTGGGTGCCAACTCGGGGTCCCTGGGTGTTCTCTGCAGGGGGCACCCTGGAAGGGAAAACTGAAGCTGGCACAGGTGAGGGTGGGATGGGGGTCTGGGATGTGTCATGCTGGGGTTTGAGCTTGAGCAGGCATGGGTTGGGGTGTGCCATGCTGGGTCACCTGGTGCTTGAGTAGGCCTGGGTTGAGGGGGGCACCTTGGGAATATGGCTAGGGCTGGTATGGGCTGGGGGCCTGAAGCTCACTGAGGCAGTAGGCAGGCTCGAGTGTCTAACCTCTCCTCCCATCTGTGCTACCGAGGTGAACGGGCAACATAAACGGTGGTGCTCCCCAGCACCTCTGACCCCAGAGAAAATTCTAGCAATTTCCCCACAGTTTGTCAGAGGCTCTAGGGTTAGTGAATGGGTTTCCTTCACCTTTAGTCATTTAAACCTTTTAAACCACAGCTTTTTTTCTGTGCCCCAGGGCAGGTGACTGCACAGGGTCCCTCAGTGCTATCCCTCTCTACTCCAGTCCGCAGCGTCAGGGGAGGTGTGCCTGTTGTTACTGTGTTCCCAGCTCTCGTGCCCTTCTCTGTGTGGTCCCTCTATGTTTTGTTGTGCAGAAGCTGTTGGATCAGCCATCGGTTCTTCAGGAAGAATTGCTTTATATCTGGGTGTAGAATTGATGTGACTGTGGGAGGACATGAGTTCAAGGTCTTCCTATGTTGCCATCTTGGACCCTCCCCTAGTCTGTTTACATTTAATGTAATTATTGATATAGTTGGATTTGGTCCTACCATTTTGCTGTTTTCTGTTTGTCTCGTGTATTTTTTGTTTCTCCGTTCTTTCCTGCAACTTATAAACCTTATGATATTGTATAATTTCTGCCTTAGATAGTCTTCTGTTTTAAAAATACATAAGCAGCTTTTCATATTTACCCACCTGTTTAGCACTTCAGTGATCTTTATTCCTTCCTGTATGTTTGAGAGTTATCATCTAGTGTTAGTTCCCTTTGGCTTTCAGAATTTCTTTAACATGCATTGTGGTGCAGATCTTTTGGCGATGAATTCTCTCAGCTTTTATGTTTGAAAATATCTTTATTTCACCTTCATTTTTTGAAAGTTAGTTTTGCTGGGATTTAATTCATGGTTGACAGAATTTTTTTCTTCCAGCCCTTTAAAGATATTCCATTGTCTTTTGGCCTCCGTTATTTCTGATCAAAAGTTACCTGTCATTAATATAATATCCTCTATGTAATTTGTCTTTTTTTTTTTCTAGCTGCTTTCAAGATTTTTTCTCTTTGCATTTGTAGTTTGTGATTTGCCTGGGAGCGGTTTCTTATTTAGTCTGCTTGGCATGTATTGAGCTTCTAGGATCTGCAAATTGATGTTTCTTTTCTCCAGTTTTGGGAAGTTTGGGCCATTATTTTTTCAAATACTCTTTGTGACCCATTTTCTCTCTTCAGTTAGATGTTGTTAGACTGCTGGATATTGTCCCACAGTTATCTAGATAAGCTCTGTTCAGTTTTTCCTTCAGTTTTTTTTTTTTTCAAATTGTTTAACTTTTGTTTATTTAACTTCAAATGCACTAACTCTTTTTTTCTGCCTTCTTTTGCTATTAAGACAGTGCAGGGAATTTTTTACTTCATTTCATTACTTTCCAGCTTTAGAATTTCTATTTCGTTCTTTTATTTATTTATTTGAGAGAGAGAGAGAGAGAGAGAGCATGGTGGGGGGGAGGGGCAGAGGGAGATGGAGAAACAGGCTCCCTGCTGAGCAGGAAGTCCGATGTGGGGCTTGATCCCAGGACCTCGAGATCATGATCTGAGCTGAAGGCAGATGCTTAACTGACTGAGCCACCCAGGAGTCCCTGGTTCTTTTTTCTGGTGTCTATTTCTCTATTCCCCCTTTGTCCATTCCTTATCTATATATTTTCCTTTAATTCCTTCTAGTGCTGTGAAGTTCCTGTCTGCTGATGGCAACATCTTGGTCATCTTGGCTTTGGTTTCTACACACTACCTTTTTCTTGAGTTCGGGTCATGTTTTCCTGTTTCTGCGCATGTCTAGTGATTTCTGATTCAACAGTAGACATGGTATTGGTACAGTATGGAGGTTCTGGATTCTCTTAAAATCCTCTGAAGGGTTTTTGTCTTAGCAGGTAGTTATGTGATGAGACTCAAGTTCCAACTCCTGGGTTCCCTCTACTACCAGCAGCTGGAATCTCCACTCAGTTCTTTTCATTTGCAGTTGCTGCTTTTTTTTTCTTGGGCCCCCTGGGGTCTCCAGCCAAGAATTTGAACATATTTGCAGATTTGGGGGTTCACCCTCCCCATCCCATCCCTTTCAAGGTTCCCCTTAGCTTTCTGACTGCTCTGCCAGCCCTGCACTCTGCCCACTGCCATAGGGAACTGTGCCCCATAGAGATGGGGACGTGCCCTCAGGCACGACATGCAAATGTATAAGTCTGATCAGGTGCAGTTGCTTTCCTTCCAAGGTCAACTCTTCTCGTTTCTGCCTGCTTTTGATTGCTCCCCAGTGCCTTCACATAACTTTTAAGGATTTTGTCCAAACTTTGTAATTGTTATCTGTAGGAGGGTGGTGTGACTAAGCTACTCTGTCATTGGTGGAAGCCAGAAGCCAAGCACATACCTTTTTGGACTTACATTCACATTTCTCTTCAGCTTTGGGCTCAGCCACTGTGGAGGGTATAGGGCTTTTTTCTCAGGGAGCTCCGGCTTCGGCCGAGGAGTAGACGCAGTGCGGAGAGCAGCCTGGGGGTGTCTCAGTCGGCTTGGGCTGCTGTACTGAAGAACCCCAGGCTGGGTGGCTGGATCAACAGGCATTTTTTTTTTCTCAGTTCTAGAGACTGGAAATCAAAGATCAAGGTGTTGGCCAAGTTTGGTTTCTCACGAGGCCCTTCTCCTTGGCTCGCACATGGCCACCTTCTCCCTGTGTCCCACGGGGCTTTTTCTCTGTGTGTATATGTCCCTGGTGTCCCTTCATCTTTCTTATAAGGACACTAGTCCTGTTGGATCCGGGCCCCACTGTTACGCCATCATTTAACCTTAATTAAGCTCCTTAAAAGATGCCCTATTTCCAAGCGCAGTCACATTGGAGATTAGGGCTTCAGGGTATGAATTTTTTGGACGGACACATAATTTAGTCCGTAGCAGAGCATAATCAAGGCTGGGGATGGTCTGAGGGCAGGCAGGAGAGGCAGAGCCGTGCTGTGGGGATGGCATCAGGACACATTTACCCAGCCGTCGAGTCACTCACCACAGACGACATGCAGGATGCCACTCTCTTCCAGGCACGTTGTGAAGGGCTAGTGGTTCAGCGTGAGCAAGACTGGCCCTGCCCTCACGGAGCTTACAGCCAAGGAGGACAGAAGGACGTGCCGCAGACAGTGAGGTCGCAGAGTGACGAGAAGGGACGTGAGGGGTGCCTTGGGAGCACTGACAAAGGGGTCCTCCAACCAATGTATGGGTCTGGGAAGGCTTCCTTGAGGAGATGCCCTTCTAAACCAGAACCTGAAGTGTGAGTTAGGAGTCAGCTGTGGAAGAAAAGCGCTTCAGGCCAAGCACGGGGTTGGGCAGATGGGAGGGGCCCCGGGGCTGAAGGGGGCTCTGCGTGCTGGAGGGACAGAAAGTCATTTAGCACAGCTGGAGCTGGAGGTGCTGGAGGAGCAGAGTGGTAAGGGAGAAGGCCAGAAAAATTGGTTGGGGCCGGTTTCCATGTTGGATTGTAACTTTGTCCTCCAGATGGGAGGTTCTTAAAGAGAATAACGGTCTCCTTCCGCTTGGAGCCCCCTTTCCGGTGCAGTAAGTGCCTGGTGAATGTCGACATGTGCCATGTGTTATGATTTGGGGGAGGGGGCTGAGGTGGGAGGGTTGGGGGTGCGGGTGACCTTGCCTCCTTGGTAAAGCAGGTAACGGGCCTGGAGGTTGCCGACCACCTCCGGCTGCACCTGCCGCTGGGCTCCGGCTCACTGGTGTGATGTTGTTCAGCCCTGGACAGTGAGTCGGCCTCCAGCAGCATCCGCTTCAGCAAGGCCTGCCTGAAGAACGTCTTCTCGGTCCTGCTCATCTTCATCTACCTGCTGCTCATGGCAGTGGCTGTCTTCCTGGTCTACCAGACCATCACAGACTTCCGTGAGAAGCTCAAGCACCCTGTCATGTCGGTGTCTTACAAGGAGGTGGATCGCTATGACGCCCCAGGTAGAGAGCCTGCCCCGGATGGGCATCGGGGCCGAGGTCTGGGCCACTGGCTTACAGAGGAGCCCCTGTTGCGCTCGCCCACCGTGCTGGGCGCTGCAGGCAGCCGGAGGAGCCCGGGCACGGCCTGGGCGTAGAGGACACACCCAGGGAACTGCTATCAGGCCCCAGCGGAGCATGTCCCGTGCCGAGCAGAGGAGTGGACAGGGTTGGGCATGGTCGCTGCGTGACTGGGGTGGGCAAGGAGGGCTTTACACAGAGAGAGGTTTTGAGCTGGGCTCTGGTAGATGAGAAGAGAGTTTTTCTGGGAGGGGGATCAGTGGGAGCAAAGGTGAGTACAGGGAGGCAGAGGGCTTCTCTGGAGAGAACATGTCTAGTCTGGCTGGAGCTAGTGGGGAAGAGCCGTGGGAGTGACGGGTGGCCGGGGAGGTAAAGCCATCCAGAGGTGGCTGGGGCCCTGCCTGAGGAGGGGGCTCCCTGCCTTTCCTGTTCCAGCGGGAGGCCAGTCCCTGGGGAGGCAGCCACCTCTGCTATAGAGTGGAGTGTCTGCCTCAGGCCGTGAGGCTGGCGCTGGGCTCTGGAAGTGTGGGCATGAGCTCTGGGGGCTCAGGCTGTGCCCACCTACTGTGTGTCCCTGCTCTGCCCACGGGATGCCCGACTCACCCTCTGGATGGCCTGGCCACAGGGCAAAGCCAGAGCCTCGGGTGCCTTTTGCCTGGGCTTCTGGAAAGTGTGCAGCTCGCAGCTTCTTCGCCCATCTTTGCCCTGTCTTGTGTTTGTCCCTCTTCTCTGTGGGTCTGCGTTGGTCCCTTGATCTGCGGGTTTTACTTTCTGATCCCTGGGTCTCTGAGCTCTGCCTGTGTCTGGTGTCACACACTGCTCTCAGGTGTTTCTAGCGCTGAGGTTGGACGGCTATCGTCAGTAGAGCCTGGGATGAGGTGCTCTGGCTGAGGGGAGGGAGGGACCGTCGGGGTGTGACTTGCACACCTGGATCCCCCGATCAGAGCAGGAGGTGTGAGAGGCAAAGCGAGCCGTGGGGAGTCCCACAGCTGGCGGCCTCCCAGTGAATCTGCAGGTGGGTGGTGGTGCTGGGGGTTGGTGCTGCCAGGCTCCGTCACGGAGGCCCCCTCAGGGTGTGCTGAGCAGGGTTGTGAAGTAGGGTGGGTTTTGGTGCAGGCGCCAGGGAGGCCAGGAGAGGGGCTTTCTGGGAAGGGGACTGTGTCTTCCGTTCGAGTAGGGCTTTCTGAGGGCCACCGACGTGGCTCCCCACCCCCCATAACCCTCTTGTTCTCCCTCCTCTGCCATCACCTGGGGAGTCATGAACTTGGGTTGTTGGTGGGTGTGAAAAAATGTGTGTGATGTGATTTTAGGGGTGTGGCCGGGGACTGTGACTTCTGACATGCCCTTTTTCCTGTTTGTGCCCCCTAGGGATTGCTCTGTACCCGGGTCAGGCCCAGCTGCTCAGCTGCAAGCACCATTATGAGGTCATTCCGCCTCTGAGGAGCCCTGGCCAGCTGGGCGACATGAACTGCACCACCCAGAGGATCAACTACACAGACCCTTTCTCCAACCAGACCCTGGTAACTCCCGTTCCCCTGCGCCAGGCCTGGGCAGGTGTCAGCCCTGCACCCTGCGTCCCCCGGTCTTCTTCCTGCCACGAGGCCGCTCACGCTCCCTTTGTGCAGGCCCTTGGCCCCCAGCGACCACGAGGCTGTCCCAGTTGGAGTCATGGCCATGGCTGGCTGGCCTGCATCAGGAAGGGCTGTGGGGGCTTCGGCATTCTCCGAATGATCCTCAGGGATTCCTGACACTGTGATAAGATCCTGTCCTTGACGGAAGGACAAAGGGCTGCAGGGTGAGGCCAGTGTGGTGTCGTGGAGTGAGTCCTCTACCTGAGTGCCCACCAGAATTGCCACGTGGGGCCAACTGAATCATTCATTCCTGGGGGCGGCGTCTGGGAATCCGTACTTTGAAATAAATAGGCCAATGTAAAGAAGCCGGTCTGGGAACAAGGACCCTGGGCCCCGGTGGCACCTGCACAGGGTTTTGGAGACAGGGAAGGAATTTTATATTTATTTACATCTTCTCTTTTGCATCCTGTGCCCTTGTTTCGGAAAGGATTGCACGGGGCTGAGTGCGGGTTTTCCAGTAGAGACAACATCATGCTGTGTTTGTGTCTGTGCACAGTTCCAGTAGCTGGGAGTGTCTGGACGAGCAGGGGTCTCCCCCCGGCCCCTGGAGCGGCGGGAGGTGAGCTGTGGATGGGGAATGGCCGGGGGAGAAGAGCTCCCGTGGCTCCTCGGGGTGGGTCGAAGGTGGAGAGTCCCGCCGGGATGGTTCTGTTCACATTTATTCTAGGCTTCCTCCTAAGATCCGGCAGAAACTAGAGTAAAATAAAGTTTCCATGACAGCCCCACAAACCCAGAACAGGTATCACCAGTGGACGAGACATTTTGAACTGGTGTAAACCACAGATTGGGTCAGATGGACTGAGCAGGCAGACCAGAGAAAGCCCACACCCTGAAACAGGCGCAGGAGAGGCTTGGGAGAGGGGAAAGCCTTCCTTCTGGCTCCCAGCTCCCCCTTGGCGGGCTCAGAGGGCAGGGCCGCGGTCAGGGGCAGTGGTTGGGACAGTCATCATGGGACAGTCTTCACAGGACTGCCCGTTGGCAGGACCTGCTGTGCCTCCTGTCCTCCCAGGGTGCGCAGAGCCGCTGGGCATAGTGTTTGCTTCTGGGTAAGAACATTCTCTGCAGAGGCTCGGGGGAGGTTCCCTGCTTGGGTGCTGGGGCAGCAGAGGGAAACGGAGCAGAACTTGAGACTGGGCCTCCATGGTGGAGCGGGGTGACAGGTACTGGAGAGGAATCTCTTACCAGGAGAGAAATCCACCAAGTACCTGGCCTGCCGGCATTGCCTGCCCACCGCCACGGAGCGTCAGCCTGGGCGAGCACAAGAACCACCCGGGGCGGGGGGCACCCGCACCCCAGACCTGTGCTCATCACCTAGCCCCACCTTCAGAAGTGGGAATGGAGAATTAAGGCCCATTAGACATTTACAGGGAACTAGCGGCATAGAAGAGGACCAAGAGGAGCAAACAGAATGGACTCTCCAGAACAGGGAAGCGGATGCTAATTGAAATGAAAAGGAACGTAATTTTTAGAAACGTTAAGGAAGAGCAGGCGGGGTCTCGTGGGGGCCGGACCCTGGGGCCCTGGCTGAGCGGCGCCGCCCAGGATCCCCTCGCGCTCGTTCCCAGACCTGGTGGTGCCGGTTATACTTAGGCAGTAGTCACGTGATTTAAATATTATGAACACCCATGAAATGGGGGCACACAAGGAGGGTTGTCAGCACAGAAACTGCGTTGAAGGCTGTTACCGCCTGCAGCTCCGGATGATGCTTAGTCTTCTCCAGCGGTTCGTGATGTGGCTCCTTGCGGTCCAGCTGTCAACTGGGAGGGGTCTGGCCTCTCTGGACGCCAGGCCCCCCACCCAAGCAGCAGGGGGAGGTGAGGCGGGGGGTGGGAGAGATCGACAGGGAAGCACAGGAGAGCTCCCGTGGGGAAGGGGGGCCGTGGTGAGCTCACGGCAGCTGGGGGGCACCTGGGGGGCGCCAGTGAGGCCCTCTGGGGGCGGCCTGTGGCATGTGGTGCCTCTGCAGGCCCCGAGGGAGCTCCATGGTTAGAGGCGTCTGTGTGCTCTGTTAGCCCCCTGGCTGATTGGGCCTTGGTGGAGGTCCTCCGTGGCTGTGCCTGGAGTGGACATCGGAAAATAAGCCCCCAGCTCCCTACACCCCTGCCGCTGAGGCCTTGGAGGTTGGCTTGTCATCCGGCTCCCGCCCCTGCCCCCTTTGTTTGCAGTGTGCCGTCTGGGAAATGGGTAGGCTTCAGGCTTTTTGCATCCTGGCCAGTCTGTGTGCAAGCGGCCCACTGGGGGCCTCCTCTGACCTGCTTCAGCAGACTTCCGATTCTCATGTTGCCTAGGCTCCCTCGTGCCCTCAGTTCGGTGCACTTTTACCGCATTACGGCCACCGCTGTCCCAGCCTGTAGGACCCGTTCCATTCCTCACTGCCTGACGTGTTCCCGGGGTCCACATGGTATGCCCTTGCCCCTTTTCAGTTTGTTCCCAGAGCATTCCAGTTCCAGAAAGTAGCTTGTGTGTTGGGCACAGACTAGGCCGAGCTGCTGGGCAAAAACACCCCAAACAGACACTGTGGCCGAGACCAGAGAGAAGTCTGGAGCCAGTCTTCTGGAGCTTCTTTGGAGCCAGTCGGGCATGCGGGTGGGGGGCGCTGGGGGCAGTCAGCGATGGCTTCTGTCTGCCACTCTGCCATCCGCAGGGCAGGCTCTTGGGCCTCGTGGGCAGCCCTGGCTTGCCGTGACGGGCACATGCGGACTCGCCCGAGTCACTTCTGTGCGTGTTCCAGGAACTTCATCATGTGACGGTGGCCGGGGCCAGAACGGAGGCCCCAGCAGGGTGGCCGTGTCCCCGAAATCCGGGATTGGGGAAGTGGTTCTGGTTCTCCAGGAGGAAGTGGATGGTGGGAACAGTTAGCTTTCTCTGCCGCTCCTCGACATGTCACGGAAAGGTTGAGATTACAATGGACAGAGATCTCTCGGGAAAATGCAATAAGAGGCAGGCGTGAGGGGCGGCTTCGCATCAGTTGAACTGGAATACTAGGTGCAAAGGGCTCCAAGAGGGTTGGTTAATACGGATAAAAAACAAATAGGACTCTCCACTAAGATGTAACAGTCAGAAATCTGTGTATGCAAAACAGCGTTCCACTTGTATATTTTAGGCAAAGCCTGTTAGAAATAAAAAATACCTGTTGCCTTAAAGGGTGACTAAATTCGTACTTTTCTCTCTCATGTCCACAGATCAAACAGATGCAAAGGAGTAAGGATAAGAACCGAACAGCACAATTCATAAATTAAGAGTGAGCGTGTGGAACACTGTGCTTGACGGTGCTCCCTCTTCAAATGTCTGTAGAGCATTGATCAAAGTTATTGATGTAAAGATTTTTTTCCCCCAAGTTAATCTATAAATCCAGTGTCATCAGTTGATTTTTATCATGGAATTTAACAATCTAGTTTTAAAAAGTCCTCTTAGAAGAGCACCTGTGCAACGATCACTCCGCCGGGTTTGGGGGTAGGGAGCAGCGCCGCGGACCTGCCCGGATAGATGGCAGAACAGTGTAAACCTGGGGGTCAAACCTGTGTCTGTCCGTTGCCTGGGAAGCAGGAGGTAGATCCCTATTTCACACCAGATACAAAACTGAAAGCCAGGCATATGAAGTGCCTGAATGTAAAAACATGTAAAAAGTGTTATAAAATACAGGAGAGGGGCTCCTGGGTGATTCAGTCGGTTAAGCATCTGACTCTTGATTTCGGTTTAGGTCACGATCTCAGGGTCATGAGATCAAGCCCCACATCAGGTTCTGGGCTCAGTGGGGGGGTCTGCTTGGGATTCTCTCTTTCCCTCTGTCTCTGCCCCTTTTCCTTTGCCCCTCCCCCCCATGCATGCTCTCATGCACATACTCTCTCAAAAAACAAAAAAAAATATAGACCGTTGATGTAGTTTTGGTTTTCCTTGGCAAGAAAACCCAGAGCCATAAAGAAAAAGATTTATAGATATCACTGTATTAAATTTAAAGCTTCATGTAACAAATGACATTAGAAACAAAGTTGATGGAAAAGTGACAGACTGGAAGAAAACATTTGTACGTGTAATGGATGTAAGCTAGCACCCTTTTTATTAAGTAGAGCAAGCATGCATCAGCAGGGGAGGGGCAGAGGCAGAGGGAGAGGGGGAGAATCTCAAGCGGAGTCAGGGAGCCTGACTCATGCTCGATCTCATGACTCTGAGGGACCCTGTGGCAGGTCTGAGATCATGACCTGAGCCAATGTCAAGAGTCAGATGCCCAGCGGACTGAACCATCCAGGCGCCCCACTAGCATCCCTTCTCAGTAGAGGACTCCCCTAGCGCAGACCACCACTGAGAAAAGTGGATGGAGGACAGTTGCTCTCAGCTCTGGTCCGGCTCATACCCAGAGGGCCACCCCGTGGGGCTGAGCAGGGGTGAGCATGGACAGCAGCGGGGGTGGCCTGTGGTCCTCTGGGGTCCGCGGGGCGAGGGGCTTTCCAGTCACAGTGTCTCGGGGGGGGGGAGGGTGCGGTCAGGAGTACAGCAGCCGTGGCTCCTCCAGGGCTGATCGTGGCCTTTGTGTCTCTGCAGAAATCCGCCCTGATTGTGCAGGGGCCCCGCGAGGTGAAGAAGCGGGAGCTGGTCTTCCTCCAGTTCCGCCTGAATGAGAGTAGCGAGGACTTCAGTGCCATCGATTACCTCCTCTTCTCGTCTTTCCAGGAGTTCCTGCACAGGTGGCCTTTCAAGTCCGCAGCGGGCGGGCCCATCCCGGGGCAGGGGCGGGCACTGCCCAGGGGACTGACCTGGAGATCAGTGGCTCGGGGACCTGCCTTCACAAAGCACAGCAGGTCCGATGTGGGGCACGTTCGGACTCGTGGGCTGAGAGGCTTGGTCCTGTCACAGCCGGGACCTTGTGCACCCCCCGAGTCGTGGGCCAGGTCTCCCCCTCAGTGTCAGCCCTTAGTGTGTGTTTGCCATGTGCATTTAATATGGGGATGAAAGTTCCTATCTGCCCAGTGGGGTGGGGGGGTGGTGTGGGGCAGGGGGGACCCCCCAGCCCCTCTCTGGTGCCTGGAGTGCTCGTTGGGACTGTGAGCATTTTCGTCACATGCCCGAGCTGGCATGACCCCGGCCTCCAGGTCGTGCAGAGCCCGGGGCCCCGTTGAAGGGAAGTGGGTGGCAGTCACCACGGAGGAGAGGCCGTTCCCCTGCCTGAGGCTGTGGGCCACCTCCCCCCGCTCACACACCCCTGCTCCGTCCTTCCGTTTCAGAGCTTGGAGCCTTGGCCGGGGCGTCTTCCGCCCTGTCTGCTCCCCGCCCCCCCGCACTCCCTCCACCCTCCCTGCGCAGAGCTGCTGGCTGCACAGGTGCCCCGGGTGTCCCGTCTGGTGAGGTCCCCCTCACTGGGCCTCTCAGGAGGAGGCTGGCGGGCGCACCTGCGTTCTCGGGGCCAGTGCTCGGGGAGCAGGTGGGAAGGAGGAAGGACCTCCCCCATGGGGGGCCGCCTCGAGGTGGGTGGCAACTCTCCCTGCGTCTGCAAACCCAGATCAGAGCTTGGAAAGGAGGCAGGAAGTGGGCAGCATCGTGGTGGTGCCAGCCAAGAAAGCGGCTCCAAGTAGGGGCTGGGGTTTGAGTCTGGCCGAGGTTGCGTCCTGCTGTCGGCCTCACTGGGCCCGCCCTTCTCTGCCTTCCAAGCCCAGACAGGGTGGGCTTCATGCAGGCCTGTGAGAGCGCCTATTCTAGCTGGAAGTTCTCCGGGGGCTTCCGCACGTGGGTCAAGATGTCCCTGGTGAAGACGAAGGAGGAGGACGGGCGGGAGGCGGTGGAGTTCCGGCAGGAGGTAGGTGGCACTGGCTTCGGGGTCCGCCGCCGGCCGCCTCCAGCCTTGACTCGGGGGTGGAGAGTGGCTTTGTCGAAGAGATGACCTCTGGGCGGTCTTCAGAGTGGGAAGGGACCCCGTGGCAGGGGGGATTCGTGTTCCCCAGGCCCTTCCGTGGGCCACTGTCGGTCCTCAGCAAACACGTGGGTCAAGCAGAGCAGGTGACTGGCCCTGCACGGCCCGGATTCTTGGCCCTCAGGCTGCCGGCCGCATGGAAGATGGGTGATGTGCAGGGAAGAGACCAGATCCGGTGGCCTCTGAAGGTTGAACGCGTGAGCATCCGTTGGGATGTGGGGCGGGGGGGCGGGATACTAGGTTGCTTCTTGTATTAATTTCTTTATCATCCTTTTTCCATTTCTTAATATTTTGAAAGGTGTGTCACATTAGAACAGTAATAATCATGTCACATCACTTCTGAAAAAGTCACGTATATGTTGGATATATGCTCAAAATGTGATCCTAACGGGAAGTGCGATTGAAAGCTTTCCGCCCCCTGGCCTGCAGCCCTGGGATGCACCAGGGGTTTCTAGCCAGGGCCCCGGCGGTAGATGGGGGAGGAGCCGGGGAAGAGGCCTGGCAGTGGGGATGGAGGGAGAGGGCATCTTGGTTGCCGCAGCAGGGCTGTTTTCATCAGCTGCCGCTGAAAGCAAGGCTGCACCCCTACCTTTGGGACTTCCACCTTGGCTGTGGCCGCCCCCCTGCCCACATCCACACTCAGAGCCAGCCATCCTGTGTATCAGTGGCGGGGTGCCTGCTAAGGCAGCGAGGAGACGGGTCTGTTCTAGAAACCTCTGTTCCTCCCTGGAGATGTTGCAGTGGGCTGGACTCTGAGGGGCAGCATCGGGAAGGGTCTGGGTTGGAGTAGGGGGACCGACTCCATCGATGCGGCTGTCACTGGCCAGAAGCCAATGCCCCTTCCCTGCCTCTGGGTCCTCAGACTACTCCAGATTAGAGACCTTTTGGAAGGGCTTGAAGCCGGTTTTCTTCAAGAGGACAGGCTTTTTTCCTGCCCTGGGATGTGGCAACTTTCCTGGCAATGGGTCCTTAAAGTATTCTAGTTTGTCAGATAACTGTCACGTTCTGGAGTTTTCCTGCGCACTTTTCTCCAAGAACCCCCAGGACCTTCCTCATCTGGCCCCACAGTGGCTGAGAAAAGGAGACTCGATACGTGCACCTTGCAGTTAGGTGCAGCCTGCCTACCCGGCTCCCCCGCAGCTCCCCCGTGACCGGAACCCAAAGGGGCCAAAGGCCCAGCGAACCTACGCATTTTAGAATGTTTGTGCCGTTCGGTATTGTCTAAACTGGAAGTCTTTTGGTGGGTGACGTGAACTCTTGAACAAAGTTTAAAAGTTTTTTTATAGAGTGTTTTAAAGTTTAAAGTCCTTAATGCATATATTGTCTTCTTTGATCCTGACTGCCCCTTAGTGGTGTCGGCACTTTGCTGGCTGTGTGGCAAGGGGCTAAGTGAGGCTCAGCTCGGGGGGTGGACACGGCCCTTCGGCTGCACCTGGGCTTCTGCCCCTGGAACCTGTTTGCTCTCCGTGACACCAGGCAGAGTTTCTAGTAATTGATAACCAGATCTTACCAAGCACGCCTACTAAATATTTACAGGGAATGCTCAGCCGGGTGGGTCTGTGAGGTTGAACTTTGTCCCTGTAGACCTGAAGGGTTGAAATACTCTGCTTTTAAGATCAAGTATTTTGAAGTTTGAGGTTTCTGTGGCTTCTAATCATGCCTTAACATGATACTGTGAGTATGGTTTAATCATGAGTCCAGATACATAATGACAGTTTTGGTGATTCTCCAGAATACCTATTGTACATCCCGGGTCCTATTCATTTCCCCAAAGAGCTGGAAACCAGGGTAAAGTCTCGGCTCTTGTACAAGTGTCAGGATGTTGTTTATGAGATTTCTGGCTTTCTCTGTCCAGAAAATGGTATGAAGAGAACCAAGGTCCAAGATCCCCTAACTACCCTCTCCTTTCCTGCCACCCAGGCTAGGGAGGGGCACAGAGGTGGTAATACTGCTATCTTTTCTTTGTACCTAGACCAGTGTGGTTAACTACATTGACCAGAGGCCCGCCGCCGAGAAAAGTGCTCAGTTGTTTTTTGTGGTCTTTGAATGGAAAGATCCTTTCATCCAGAAAGTCCAAGATGTGAGTATTACTTCAGGTTACAAGAGCAGACTCCCTGCGCTGAGGTATTTTGACTCATCCTTGCAGGCTGTAGGCTGTCCTTGTCTCCTTTCATGGCACAAATTAGTTTGTCATTTCTGACATTCACGTCCTGTGTTAGTTGTGTTTCATTGGCCTTGCCATCACTATATAGTTGGCCCCGTGAAGGTGGGGACTTCATCTTTTGCTCACCATCGTTTTACCTGCTGTGTGGCAGGGTGCTCGGTACAGAGTACTTGCTTGGTAGTAATGTTAAGTGACTGAGCAGAGTAGAAAGCATGGATCGCATTAAGCTAATGTCTAGATGACAGCTTTTGGAAGCCCTTCTTTTTTAATGGGTCTCTGTTGGATAATCCTTATTTGTTGTCAGAGCAGAAAGGTACAAATAAAAATTAACAGTGTGTCAATTAATGGCAGGTTCTCAGCCTCAGTCTGGGGAGGGGGTTGGGGAAGAATGATGGGACGGCTTTGCTAAAGGAACATTCCAGGGAGACACCATCCACCAGAGCCAGGCCCCGATCTAATACTGATTGGCATTTAGATAATCCCAAAGTGTCCTGAAGTCGTGGCTTCGGGGAAGCACCTTCCGTGGCCGAGACCCAGACGTGGAGGGTCCCTGTGGCATGAGCTCCTCCATAACCTCCCCCGCCCCCCCGGGAGGTGTGGACCGGCAGGACCATGTGCACAGGGGCGCGTGCAGTGTGCTGAATCTGGGTTCCAGGTGGAAGAATGGATGCCTTCAGCTCGACACGTACAAGTGCGTGATGAGACATTTTCCACTTAGGCTGTTACTCAGTAGGTGCCCATCGGGCCAGGGAAAGGCCACGCTCGAAAGAGACCTGCTTTTCTCGAGCGGTCACTCAGCTGCTTCGCAGCCCCGAACAGTGGCGCTGGTGTAACCGTTTTGTGTCTGTGAGCCCTGAGGCTCCAGTTGGCCACGTTCACCCTGCTAAACTGACTTCCCATGCTGGGGACTCAGAAACCAGGGCTGAGACCTCGGCCCAGAAGCGTTTAACATTTAGCGAGAGCTGTGAAGGGACTCGTTGCAGACAGTAAGTAGCTGCCGGAGGGCTTTGTGGGGTAAAGGTCTCTGCCGAAGTGGAGAGGGTTTTGGCCCCCAAGGAGCCGTGCAGGGTCGGTGCACTTGGGTAGCAGGAAAGCAGTGCAGCCATCAGAGGGCACAGCCTGGGGGCAGGAGTCCGGGGCGTGAGACCGTCACTGGACCGGGTGGAGGACAAGTTTGCATCACTGAGAGATGGGAAGAAAACAAGAGGAACTGACCTGATGCAGTGGGTACAGTTTTGGGGGAAATTTGTCTCAAAGCAAGTTCCCTTACTGTGGATGAGGCCAGAAATTTAAGCCTCAGTACTGAGTATCTAATCTGTGCAAGAGTTTTAAGAAACTCCCCCCCGCCCCGGATCCGTTTATCGTAGGAAGGGATTAGTATTTTTCTTCTCATACTTGAGCTCTGCACCTTCAAGGTATAGTCGGAACGAAGTACAGTCATGGCAGTTTTAGGACCCGACTGTTTTTCTTGTCACTCCCATCATTTAGGGTAGGAGGCCCTTGACAGAAATGCTGATATGACCTAGGAATCAGAGTTGAAGCACACTGAGAAGCTTGTGTTTGTTGCTGTTTTCCAGATAATCACCGCCAATCCTTGGAACACAATCGCCCTTCTCTGTGGGGCCTTCTTGGCATTGTTTAAAGCAGCAGAGTTTGCCAAACTGAGTGTGAAATGGATGATCAAAATTAGGAAGAGATACCTTAAAAAAAGAGGTCAGGCAGCAAACCACATAAGCTGAGGTGGCCTCGTGGTGTTCATAGAACTGCCCCCGGTGATGGAAGTTCTCGCCACTTCATTGTCCACCGAGCAACCGGTGGCCCTGTGCTCACTTGAAACGAGCCTCCACTGCGAAAAGCAGCCTGCCAGACCACAGCTTCGACCCTGGCCCCAAAACAGGATGTTTAGAGCCAGTGGATAACCTAAAACCTATTTAAGTATTTAAATTATTAACGAACATTTTTGGACATATGAATAGGGATTGTGGACGATGGAATTAGATACGTATCAGGTTTTCTGAAGGTTTGTGAAGCTGCCTTATTTGGTTTGGTGTCTAGTTAAGCTCTAACGGGATAATTAAGGCTCTACATTTCACCTTAGTCTCCCCCCCCCCCCCCGCGCCACCCAAGGTTTTTTAAGTGGACAGAAGAGAGCGTGATTTTTTCCCCAAATCCTGACGATGCAGATGCACAGGTTATGCGTTGAAGCCTCTGCACCCTGTACCCAAAGGCAGAATCCCTTATGTCTCCGGCATCATCTGCCAGTTACATTATCTGGCCTCTGACATGCTCTTTCATTTGTTAAATTTTAAAATGGGACTTTTTTAAAGCTACTAGAAACTAGTGCTACGCTTTCTTGTGGATTGACTAGCCCCCTACCTGTCTGGCTAGAATATTTGTTGATGCAGGTGTAAGAGTGCAAAGTGATTAACCTGCAAAAGCACTGGGACATGTGTACAGAGGAGGTGCCTACTCAGTATATTTTGATGATTTTATTAACAGGTAAATAAAAGTTAGGTTAATGCAAAAGGAGTCCGTGTGCCAGTATGAATATCTGCTAAATTGGTAGACACCAGTACGCTTTCATTTTGTGACCTCCAAATAAGTGGCCACGTGAGCTTGGACTCCCAAGATGGATGGATCTGGACTCCCGAGGTACGTCATGACTGTGTCCAAGGAAGGGTAGGTGGCCCAGTCGGGAAGAGTGACAGATCTACTTTGTTCTCCGGGTTCTGTTCCTGTCCTACCAAAGCACCCATCTGAGAAACGGGTCACTCAGTGTGACCCTCGAAGCCTTCAGCCTAGCTTTTGACAGAGATGAGTACTCAGTATTTTTTACATGGTAGCAGTGGGGTGATTTAAGGTTATGAAAATTGCCTCCAGAGTTTCAAAGTATTTACATGCCCTTTGCTTCCAAAGAGGACTTGGAAACACTTCCTGCATTTTATAACCTGGCTTTAGGTAATTTAAAGAGGAAAAACTCAAACGTACAAGTGGGGCATTCTTATCTCATGTCTAACTTAGCAAGACACTGTTACTTGAATTACTAAAGATAAACTTGTGCAAAGAAATATTCCTTGGTACTTTGCTATGCCACAGAAGCATGCACAAACGTGAGCCTAGATCCTCTCTCTCTGTAAAGTCTTTTTTGTAAGGCAAATGCAAAGCCAGGTGTAGCTTACCTTAACAGTACTGGAAAACACGTGTCTGTGTGTGTTAAAATATCTCTGAAGATGACACACCACTTAGTATTATTTAATAAAATTTGCTCATATAAACATACCAAAACTGCATTTCCTGTATTGTGGAAAGTTGAGAGACATCTTACATGTGCTTTAAAATAAGTAGTTAGGAAGTGAGCATTTTTAGCTTGTCAAAAAAAAAACTACAGCCACAGCCTGCCCGAATCCACTGTGGCTGTTCAGTGAAAGAAATATATAAACCTTCCACTAACAAGACAGACCTAACCTTTACTTTCTGGAAAGGTAGGGCCGGCCTTTCAGTCTGTGTTCTGTGGTAGGATCACCCTTGCCTTCCTGTGCCGCCCCCAGCTGTCAGTAACACTGGCTGGCCTTGGGTTAGTGCGGAGGTTTTGGCAAAAGCACGTTGATCTGGGTGGCCGGGATAAGGTGGCTATTTGAGACACTAAAATATGAGCCATGTACCAAAAGGAAAAGTTTCTCTTGGGGCCGCAGCGAGTGAAAGGAGTTGCTTTTACAGTGACCTAGGAATCGTGTGCAGGACCCAGGCTAGAGTTTTTAATGAATGCAAAAGAGTGGGAAGTTTACAATTATGTCTAATTTCTGACTGTGCCACAATTTCTCTAGACTTCACCTAGGGAAGTGTTTATTATAAATTTTGAGGTTTTTAATTACAACTGACATTTAAGATAATTTGAACCTATTCTCTGAACACAGACATGAAGGAAGATGAAAGGATATCCTAAAACTTAGAATTTTATACAGGTGTTCTATAAAACAGATGTACTCTGGTAAGTGGCTGCAACGGTCATGTATGTCTATATGAATATAAGGGACAGCAGGCTGCTTCTGGATGGCTCAACTTAGAGCTGGAAAAAGCAAACACAACATAGGCAAAATACAAACATAGACTTTATTAAATGCTGCTCAATCCCCCAATGAAGATCTTTCATTACAAAACAGTTTTCCACACAACTGCAAGTAAAGAGATTGGAATGGTACTCATAACAAAAGATGTGAGAAATACTTGACTAAGTGAAAACATACAAGACCTCTCTATGGTCAAGAACTCTACAGGGGAAGCCTACTGCATTTCCTTTAAATAAAGCTAGGCAGTGACAGTGAGCATTCTGTGTCACCACATTGTGGGACTCAGAGCCTCCTTCCCTGGGTCAGGAGGGACTGGAGGAAGGGCAGGTTGTGAGGACTGGAAAGGTCCTGCCTTCAGCCTTTGGGAGAAAGAGGAGGAATGAACTGAGAGGCGGGCTCAGGGTTCACCTGTGCTGCCTCTATGAATCTGGGCTCATGGCTTGGGGGGGTCGCAGATGAAAGGGGGATATTCATGAGGAACAATCTGAAGAATCTGGTTTACTTTCCCAGCTTTTATTTATATTTTGTGCTTTAAAAAGTCTGGAGATTTAAGTTTCTGCTCAAATTCCAGAGTGCAGTAATATCTCTGATGAAGGAAGGCTTAGGGCAGGTAACTCCCCCCATCATATTTCTGGGAGCAACAAAGCGAAGAGTAAGGATTACACCTCAGTTTTATTTTAGGAAATGTTCTTTTTCCCAGGATGTAACTGAGGTCTGCAGCAGTGTGAAAAGCACATTATAAAAGGGAAAAATACACAGAGCAAACTGCTATATCTATGTGCAACACAATTCAAGTCATAATTCTTACCACTCCCATAATTATCTCACTCATATCATAGAGGATACAGTTCATTCGTTTCTGTGAAACTTTAGAAGTGACACAATAAATCCATGATTAGACAAAGGTCACAGTATACCGTGGCCATGATACAGCACAGGGCTATGTTTAGTCCATATTTTTCATTTACACTTGCCAGAAAAAAAGTTGGCCTTTTAATTATACTGAGGTTTCATAATTTTTACATATTTCAAAAAAGTGTACAAAACTGCCTATCCAACAGAGGTGGTGGGCTTTTTTTTATTCATCACTTGTATTGCTGAGAATACTGTGCATGTTGTAAGCACTGTTTTGCTTTTCCAGAGCTTTCTTTAGCTTTAGCTCCTCTAATTTTTTCCATAATTCTTCACGTTCCAATTCCTTCTTTTTCTCTCTGTAGATAAACCAAAATTTTAGTAGTCAGAAACCTCTAATTTAGAGCCTGAAGAAACTTGCTGTTTGGCAGTGTGCTGGGGAACATATTATTCACCCACATTTCACTTCAATCCCTTTACTAAAGCATCTGAGGCCAATTACCTGAAACACCTAACTATTCTCTAAGTCACTCTCCTGAGTGATTACTGCCTCTGTGCATCTCCTGTACCAACTCAGAGATACTCCTTGCTTTCCCCTACGTATTCCACGACCGCTGTTGTCATTTGTGCTTTATTACATTCACTCTCCCACCTAACCCTCTTACAGCCAGGAGAGCTGTGATGGTCGTCCTTTTATGGAGACTGAAGGGTGGCTATGAGGTCAGCCTGGAGCCACTTCCGGGTGGAATCATCTCTCTAGCCACTAATTAGTTTGTATCTTTGATGTCAAATGAAAACTGAAGTTTGAAAAGAGAAAAAAAATTCAAAATATTTTTTGTTTCAACTATTTAATTTCAATTCTAAGGAAAATGCTTCTGAATAACTTGGATGAAACTGTTCTGAAGGACTATATGAACATCCCTCAGATGTTTTTGCAGATATGATGATTATTCTTAGTCATGTGAAATATACAAGTTTCATGTGACCCTAATTACCTTTCTTGCTTCCTAAGGTTTAAACTATGTACCTAATTTCTTTTCCTGCCTGAAAGGTGCTATTTTTTTTTTTTTCCCAAGAGTTACTGATGGGCTAGGATGGCCCTGAAGAAGAGCTACCCTTGTTCTATTTGCCACAAGAAAATCCTGATTAGGAATTTATAGTCAAAAGAGATCAGCTTTTCCAAACAATAGGTGATAAACTTCTTAGAAATAAATGGTAGTTATTATCCTCAAAAGATGGATTGCTCAGGTAGAGTGGTTACTGCCTGCCTGATGTTTGAAATAAATGAGAAGAAAGTGATTTGTAGAAGATTATTTTATATATGAAGTTCTCCAAAAGAGGTGATCACTTAGGTTTGTAAATGTTGCTATATGCTACCATCTCTAAAATATTTACTGTTGCAAGGAACAAAATATTAATGGTACTGAGCCAGAGGCATACCCATTATGTGAGCTCCCGCTGACCAAAAAAGAACTATGCTGAACTTTAAGATACCACTTTGGTAAAATGGGCAACTTAAAACTACCAAACTGTTGTGCAAAGAGCAGTGGAAGAGTAAAGCTCCCTATGGAAGCCCATCTGGACAAACGCTTTTCATAAATACATTGATCAAGTTGTATAAATTTGGCATAAATTGTATTTCATGATGCAGATGCTACCAGACCAATGAAGTCTAAGGCTCAGAATGAGATAAACAGGATTTATAATCCACATTAAAACTGTCATCTAACCAGTAGGGGAAGTTTTCTATTTGGAAATGAGTTTGAGCATTACAACTTGAAAGTCTAATGTAACTGACTTAAACATTATAATTTTAACTTAGGCAAGATACCTTATTGGACTGAATCCCATTCAACTAACCTCAAATGCATCAATAACTTGGTAATTAAAAATACCAAATACCTTTGTCTTTCAGCTTTGTATGAGCCAGTAAGGTCATCAAAGAGCTTGCCATTCATTTCCATTAGGGTTTTCAGCACGTTGTATACCAGTGCTACAATGGTCCTAAAATGAAAATAAGCAGTGTTGGGTCACAGGAAATGTAACATCATCATCCCTAAATGGTGGCTGATTCACTTAATCCATTTTAGAGATGATAAAGTGCGAGAGGTTTAATAGTTTGTTCAAGGTCACATAGACAGTTGTGACAGAGATGATTCAAAATTCACATCTGTCTTATAACATTACAGTTACCTTCATGTCTGCTCTACAGTCTATTATCTCAAGCTAACAGTATTAAAAGATAAGAAAGAGCTACCTACCATAACTTGTAAGAAAAACAGGAAGTAGGAGAGGATGGTACTGAGGTTAGAATACATGCACAATCTGAACACTGCTACCATGACCTTGGGCACTTCAGCTTCTCCCTGGGAGAGTGCTAACCCGTGGAGGTTTGTGCATCCTCTGCAGATGTTGGGTTGGTCTCCCCAGCTGGGTTTGACCGCACAGTTGTGCAGAATGTCAGACTAGACAGTCCTCCCTTCAGGAAGATTTGTAATTTTAAATTGAAACTAAGAGCTTTATAAAACTGTATCAAGTACACAAAAGAACAGAACTGTGATGTTAACCTTGGAATAAGCTCCAAATCTCTATAGGTTTCATGTATGAGTTAGATCGAAGGACAAAAAGCACAAACACAAGAATAACACAATCAACATAAAAGACACTTACGGATTCCAGTGTTCTTTGGAGATTTTGTACAAACTGCCAAACATAATTGGCAGAATTTTATCAATGTTCTCCTCAATCAAACTAAGAATATATTCATTATTCCAGAAGTACAATGCCCTTTCTGCAACCTAAGAAGACATTTAGAAATGTCAAAACTAAAAGAGAAAAAAGAAATAGTATAAAAATGGCTTCACTGAAAATATCATACCTGAAAATGAGAACTGGATACACACTTGGATATCTGCTTAAAAAGGGGCTCTTCAATTTTTTTGAACTGTGTGGGTTCAATGACATCTAAGATTTCTTCAATTTCTCCTAAAAACATCACCTAGGTTAAAAAAATTTTCTTTTAAGAGACATAACATAAATTATATGGTGTTAACATAGAAAACTATAAATGAGAAGGTTAACTGACAGATTACACAGTGGACAAAATTAAGGTCTTGATTGTATATACAATTTACTATAATGGTCAGCTATCCCACCAAGTCTCCCAATCCCCAAAATACCACTTCTTGCTCAGTAGCAGTGACAGTATAGCCAGCCCAAAGAAGCATTTTTTTTTTTTTCCCAAGGATTTTATTTGACAAGAAGGGGTTTGGGGGGAGCAGCAGAGGGAGAGAAAGGCTCCTTGCTGAACAGGCAGCCTGATGTGAGCTCGATCCCAGAACCCTGAGATCATGACCTGGG